GCCCCCTTTCCAGCTGAATCTTAACAGTGTCCAACACTGGGGAGTCACCAATTCCCCAGGGAGATTATTCCAATGGCTGGATGGTGAAAAATTCTCTTCTTGTGAACCATTGGAACCTCCCCAGCAGTAACTTGTGCTCATCACCGCTCATTTTTTCCATGTAACTCCTTGTAAAAAGGGAGTCTCTGTCTTTGTAGTCACCCTTTAAACACTGGAACATGGGGATAAGGTCTCCCCCGAGCCTTATCTTCTCCAGGCTGAACAAGCCCAGCTCTCCCAGCCTTTCCTCACACGGTTGCCCAGTGCTTGGATCATCTTTGTGCCCTTCTCTGGACCCTCTCCAGCCCATCCACATCTTCTGTGTACCACAGGGATCAAAAACGGACACAGTATTCCCAGTGTGGCCTGACAAGCACGAAGCAGAGTGGGCCAATAACATCTTTGTCTCTATTGGTGATGACTTTGTTGATGTTCCCCAGCAACCTGTTGGCTTACTTTGCTGCAGGATGGATGGATGGATGGATGGATAGATGGATGGATGGATGGGTGGATGGATGGATGGATGGACGGGTGGATGGATGGATGGATGGATGGATGGATGGATGGATGGATGGATGGATGGATGGCAGGCAAGGTGAGAGGATGTCAGGCTGGTTGCCTCTTCAGCTGCTCTAGTGAAGGTGCAGTGAGGACAGTCCCTGCTGTAGGTCCAAGTCACAGCTGTGACAGGGGCAGCCTGGGTGCTCTGTCCCCCGAGGCTCACTCCATCTGCATCACTCAAGTTTAGCCCAGCCCCAGGGACTTGCTGCCCATGTCCCATCCCTCTGCTCCAGCTGCTGCTCGCCCTGCCTGGCCAGGAGGTGTCCCCGGGCAGGATGAGCCCCTTCCTGGAGGGGGGGGACACAGAGGCGTTGCTGGGCACGGGTGTCCCCATACAGCACACCCAGCGCCATGCCCCTTCATGCTGCAGTGTGTTTGCTCAGGGCAGGCTGCTGCTGCCACATGGCTTTTTCCCAGCCGCAATCTGCCTGTTGTTTGCATCTCCCAGGCAGTGCCGAGGGTACCCCATGTGCTGGCTGCATCACTGGGTACCCATCCCTCGGCACTGATGACCTGGCAAGGCTGGGCACAGCCTGAGTGGCTCAGCTGCGGGTGTTGAAGAGAGCTTGCACCATTTGTACCTCAGTCAAGCTTGTGCTGCTCAAGAGAAATGAGTGTCCATTATACACTGAGTGGGAGGCTGGTCCTTACTGGGAGCAATGGGGTGGTGGGATGAAGGTCTGGATGCACAGTTGACATGAGGAAGATAAGGATGGCACACTGCACCCCAAGGGATACCCACCCAATGCCTCCTTCCTCCTTCTCCATGACAGCCAGGAGTGCCTGGAGCTCTAGTCCCAATCCCCTGCCATGGGCAGGAACACCTTTCATTAGACCAGGTTGCTCAAAGGTTTCATGGTTGTGTGAAACCAGCCTTAGAATGACCAGAGTTGGGTTCATCCCAGGCTGGGACAGAAACTGGGCAGCTCCAAAGCACTGGAGCCCCCCAGAGTGGTCAATACCTCTGTAGACATCCCCAGCCCCCATCAGGCAGGATACTTGAACCATCCCTACTCTCCCTCATTGCTCCTGCAGCCTCACAGCCCAGCAGTGCTGAGTGAAAGCTGCAACAGGTCAGAGACCACGGTGAAGGGCTCTAGCATCCCCCTCTGCAGGGGTCAGGCTGCTGCAGTGGCAAAAGGCAGCAGCTGCATTGGGTAAGGGAGGGGAACACCAGCCTCATGTACCCCCCAGGCTATGGAACCCACCCTGCTCCCTGCATGGACCAAGGAGTAGGAGCACCACCATGGCTCTGGCAGCAGGATGCAGGGCTCCTGCCCAGGCATGGAGGCATCCTGGTGTGGGCCATGGCTCATGGCCACCATCCCTTGCTCCCGGCCAGCGCCTGCTTTCCTGCAGTGATGTGTAAAGTAGGGAGCTGTTTTCCTGACTGCTTCATCCCCCAAAACCTCAGCCCAGATCGGGGTCCCTGTTGTCAGTTGGGATGTTCTGTGCCCTGCCCTGGCCCCCTGCACCCAGTGTCCCTCACAGTGTCCTGTCTCCCTACCTTCCCAACCCTTCGCACCCTCCATCCTTGTCGCACCTCCACTCTGCAAAGTCCTCCCCTCCTCCCATCCCCATCCCCAGCAGCTGCCCACTAATCCCGGCCATCCATCGCTCCCGACAGCCTGGGATTTGCTCCAGGCCAGGGCCCTGCTGAGACCTGCACCTGCTCCCTGCAGCCCTAAAAAGGAGAGGAGCCGGCCGCGTTCCGCAGGGACGTGTCATATTTTCTCTCCGGGGACACACGCTGTGCTCCCTGCCTGCTGACAGCACCCTGAGCCATGTTCTCCCATGGCAGCATCCCATGGGACACCCATCTGAGGAGCACCCACTGACAGGGTGGTTTGGGGTGCAGGAGATGGAGAGGAGATGCTGAACCCCTTTTGGAGGGAGGGCAAGAGCACAGCAGGAGCCTCACTGAGACTGCCAGGGAGCTTGGCCAGGGTGGGAAGTGCCACAGTGCCAGAGCATCCCAATGCGTGCTCCTTGAACCTGGCAACTGTGGGACTTTGCCACATCTCCGGGAGCTGAGCACTCTCTGGTGTGGATGAAACCAGAGGTACAAGAGAGCTTTGTGGGTTCACCCTTTCCATCACCTTCCTGGGGTCTCCCTCTCCCTCCCAGCTGGATTTCGTACCCCAGTGACTGTTCCCCTGTCCTCAGACGTGCTGGAGATCAGGCAGCGCCCGCTAAAGCCGGGAAAGGGGAGGGGGGGTGACAGATTGACGGATGCTTGGACGCGCTGCGAGAGCTCACAAACTCCTTTCCCTGGGGAAACGGGGCTAAATATAGCTGCGGGAGGCTGCGGTGGTGCGGGCAGGCAGAGCAGGCAGGAGGATGCTCAGTGAGGCTGTTGGCGGGGACGCGGGCTGTGGGCACTGCTGGAGGCTTCTGTCCTTAAACCCATCCTTAACCAGCTGATGCGTGAAGAACTGGGTGTCTGGGAAGGGGACAGAGGCAGGAGGTGGAGGGCAGGGGTGGGCAGATGGGTAGGTGAGGGGTCTGAGTCTGCCCTGAGGGCGATAGGATGTGACCCTGGATTAATGCACCCAGGTGGCACGGCATTGCCTCAGTTTGCTTTCTGCTGCTGGGGGAGGAGCACAACAAGCAGCAGGCCCCTCTTTTCCATCAGTGAGGGAAGGAGCAGGGTGGTACCTGGTACTGAAGGGAGCAGTGATGCTTTCCAGCAATGCCCCATCCCTGGCAGTGCTCAAGGCCAGGTTGGACGGGCTTGGAGCAACCTGGTCTAGTGGAAGGTGCCCCTGCCCCTGGCAGAGGGTTGGAACTGGATGAGCTTTGAGGTGCCTTCCAACTCAAACCATTCTATGACCTTATGATGCTCTCTAGCTCCCCTAGCCACAGCCCAAGTCAGCAGTGCTGACAGGGGTAAAAAATCATGCCAGCTCCTTGGATGCAGCTTGAACAGAGACCTAATGATCCTTGGTTTTGTCTGGCTCTGGGCTGGCTTTATCCTTGGTGTGCCAACAGTGATGGCGACTTTGAGGTATGCTGTCTGCCTTAGCCCATCCAGGACTAAACAGAGCCAGAGCAGAACAAGCTCCCATGGGCTTGGGGTCTGCTGCAGCATTGCGTGGCCATGGGTGATGGTTTACTTGCTAAGGCAGGCCTTGGAGAAGCAGGTGCTGCAGTGGATGTGCTTGTGCCGGCACCCCCAGCCCTGTCCCAAATACACTCATGGTCCAAGGGGAGCATTTTTGAGCCCCCTGGGGTCTGAGTGGTCAATGAGCTGGGTTGCAGACCCCAGCCCCCAGCACTGCTCCTGCCTGCCCCTGCCCATTGCCCCTGCTCCTGCTCCTGCCTCTGCTCCTGCCTTCTCCTGCCTGCTCCTGGACCTCAGTCCAGTGGTTTGGGGTGTTGAGGGTGAAGCTCTCAGTAGCCTTTGCCCTGGTGCTCATCCATGGTGTGGGGTGCTGGAGGAGGAAAAAGGGGAGAGGAAGGAGAAGGGGAAGGCAAAGAGAAAAAGTGGGAAAGGGAAAAAGAAAGAGAAAGGAAAAGAAAAGTAAAAGGAGGAAAAAAAACACCAGAAAGAGTAAGAAAAAAATGATGAAGGAAAAGGGAAAGAAAAAAGGGGAGAAAGGGAAAGGGCAAGGAAAAAAGACAAAGGGAAAGGGCAAGGAAAAAAGACGAAGAGAAAGGGAGTAGGAAAGAAAAAAAAGGGAAAGAAAAAAGAAAAAAGTAGGGAAAAGCAAAAAGGAGGAAACAGAAACAAGGAGAAGGAAAAGCAGAAAGAAGAGAAGGGAAAGGAAAAAAGAGAAAGGGAGGGGGAAACTAAAAAAGGGAAAGGGGAAAAGGAGAAACAAAGGAAAAAGGAGAAAGGGAAGGATCAGGAAAAGGGGAAGGGGAGCAGCGAGGGCCCCTCTGCAGCTCCTCAGCCCACAGCACAGCTCCCCTCACACACAGCCTCAGCTGCCTGTGCCTGGGATCCACCAGGAACAACCAGCACAGAGGCAGGACAGGTTCCTTCTGCCAGGGCTTGTGCACAGGGAGCTGAACTGAGACCGCAAAGGGACCCCAGGACTGGGTGTGGATGCTCCCCCAGCTCCCATAGCAGGCCTGGATGGCAGGCAGTGGGGTGTGGGGACATGGGGATGGGGGGCAGAGGAGAGCCAGCTGCCCTTGCCTCCTTGGGTCCTCAAAAATCCGTCTTCTCCCCCTCTCCTGTGTCTTTCCGGCTGCTCTGATCCAAGCATCCCCAGCTGCCCCCATCCCACACCAGAGATTCATCACCTCGTCCACCACCCGCCTGTGGTCACTCCTTGTGCCCGGGGATGAGGACAGCGCCGGTCAGGGTTGGTGGAAGTGGTTTGAAGCTCTACACCCCCTAAACCCCCTCACAGACCACCGAGCTGATCCCACTCTGTGGCTTTGCTCCCCAGGTTATGGCCATGCAGCCCCCAGCACGGACGGGGGGAAGGTCTTCTGCATGGTCTATGCCCTACTGGGGATCCCCCTCACCCTGGTCATGTTCCAGAGCTTGGGCGAGAGGATCAACACCTTTGTCAAGTACCTCCTCCACCGCATCAAGAAGTGCCTTGGCATGAGGCGGGTGGAGGTCTCCATGGCCAACATGGTCACCATCGGGTTCTTCTCCTGCATCAGCACCCTCTGCATCGGGGCGGCCGCCTTCTCCTACTACGAGCACTGGAGCTTCTTCCATGCCTACTACTACTGCTTCATCACCCTCACCACCATCGGCTTCGGGGACTACGTGGCCCTGCAGAAGGACGAAGCCCTCCAGAACAAGCCGCAGTACGTGGCCTTCAGCTTCGTCTACATCCTGACGGGGCTGACGGTCATCGGGGCTTTCCTCAACCTGGTGGTGCTGCGCTTCATGACCATGAACGCCGAGGATGAGAAGCGGGATGCGGAGCACCGGGCGCTGCTCACCCGCAATGGGCAAGCCAGCAGCATCCACACCACGGACACCGCCTCGGCCGTGCCGGTGGCGGCAGGGGGTGGTGGGAGTGGCAGCGGCGGCTTTCGGAACGTGTACGCTGAGGTTCTCCACTTCCAATCCATGTGCTCGTGCCTGTGGTACAAGAGCCGGGAGAAGCTGCAGTACTCCATCCCTATGATCATCCCCAGGGATCTCTCCACCTCGGACACCTGCGTGGAGCAGAGCCATTCCTCGCCCGGCCGCTGTCCGGAGACCCCCTCCAATAGATGTTTCTGCAACACCCGCCGGTCGGCCATCAGCTCCGTCTCCACCGGGCTCCACAGCCTGGCGGCATTCCAGGGGCTCATGAAGCGCCGCAGCTCCGTGTAGCTTCCTCTCCATCCCCACCCGTGTCTCCCAGACCTCTCCCCTTGGCTCTGTGGCCAAAGACCTCTCTTGGTCATGGCAGGAGGAAACCACCGCAGGTCTGGCAATGGGACCCCCAGGGAGCTGTGGCCCAGGGTCCTCTGGCTTGGGAGGGATGCAGGAGCAGCGGCAAGGCTGCCTGGTCCTCTGGGAAGCGGGAAGAAGGGAGCTGCTGGTTTTATTTTATTTTAATTTAAATTAATTTTATTATTTTATTTTGCAAAACCACTCCTCAAAAATGTGAAACTTGGAGAGCTGGAGAGTGATTTAACTTGATGGGGTTGGGGGGGTACGCCTGCACCTCCCTCCATGATGAACTTTGTGCGAGAGGCTGGGGACCCCCATAGCCCCAGCACAGCCCCAGGGCAGCCCAAGTGTGCAACAGCACGGCCGTGAGGCAGACACGTGGTCCTGTGTGCACCAGAGGCCTCATGAGACACAGATTGAGGAGGACATGGGGCTCTCAGCACCGGCTGCAGGCAGCAGTGGGGTCCTGTCCCCTCCATCCTCTGCCTCCTCCAGCCGTGGGCAGCGAGGGGATGCCGCTGCGAAGGCGAGCACGCATCAGAGGGCAAATCAGGCTAAGAGGGGCTTAGACGGAGCTCTCTCGATCCCTGCACACATCAGCCTGCCCCTGCGGCCAAGAAAACAAGCCGTGAGTCACGTAGGCTGCCGAAAACGCCTGCCTCCACTCAGTGGGCAGCCCCCCGAGAGCTCTGTGGGGTTATTTCAACCCTTTTCAGCCTGGCAAACCCAGGATTTTCCCACTGGAAAGAAGCAGGAAGCACGGATCCATCACCAAGGAGGCAGGAAGGCAACGTCAGCGTGGTCCCTGGGACCCCCATCTCCATCCTCCGCTGTAGCAGCTCTGGAGCCGGAGCTGTTACCCTTGGGGAGATTTCCTGGGGGACAACTTGGGGCATTATAAGAGTTTTTCACCCTTCTTCTCCTTCGCAGTCCCCTTTCAACCTGCCCCCCCATCGCACCCCAACACCCAGAGCCCAGAGCAGGGGATGCTCTCAACACTTTACCTAGCAGAGACATCCCGGGGTCACCCAACACACAGCAAGAGGGGAGCAAAATCCTCTTTCCTTGTCCCCCTACATGCACGGGGCAGCCCCCAGCCCCATGGAGAGCATCCCCATCACCCTTACAACTGTGCCCACCCCGCCGCCAGCATCCAAAGCACAGGCTGTCCCCCCAGCAGTGGGGACACTGGGGAACACCCTGACATGCACTGGCCCCTCTTTGAGCACCAGGAGTGCCAGGGGGACTCTGGGGACAGCCAAGGCACCCAGCCCGCCTGTTTCTTTTCTCACCTTTTAACAGAAGAAAACCAATGTATTTCTAATACTTGACGACTTGTACATACTGTTAGATACCAGAGAGGATATTTATTACAAATGATGCTATCATCATATCTATAGAAGTCTATAAATACCTATTGGAAAGAGGGTCTTGGGGGAAAACTTGTTGATGACTCCGGAGAATTTCTTTTCGCTCTCTGCATCCTTTTCATCCTAGGGCACCCATGGGGAACCACACTCCCCCCGGCAAGGTTTCTCTGGTTCTCATGCCAAAGTATATTTGTACCGCTGAGTTACCTTCCATAGAGAGAAATAAAGGCTGGTTCAAACCTCGGCACTGCCTCGACTTCTTCCCTTTAGGGGATGGGGGTCCCAGAGTCCCAGCTCTGTGCCCCATTGCCCTTACTCTTCAGGGACCAGGAAGTATGAGCATTTCTTTGGAATAAGCTTCTGCCCCTCTCCTGGCTTTTCCCATGGATATGGGAGAGGAAGGAAGGAGAGGCTCAGCCCTGAGCTCTGCAGCATCCTTTAGTGAGTTCAGTGGGAGAAGGGTCTCCCTTCTGTATAGGCTGAGCTCAGGGCTTCCTGACCTCTTCCATCCCACCATCACCCACAGACGTAAGGCTGTAGCGGACCATGCTGCAGCTTTTCCCATGGGAGCCCCACCAAACCCAGCAGAGCTGTAAACCTCCTGCTCTTACCAGCAGCAGCATCTCCTCAGCCATGGCTCACTCAGGCTGGAGACCTCCCTCTGCTCCATGCAACAGCCAAGAAGCATCCAAGATTTGCTATGTAAGCCAGGGGAGACAGGGGTGAGCCCCCTGCCTTGGTCTGTGTGGGAAAACTGAGGTACAGACAGGAGACACACAAACTGGAGAGCTGGGGGCATCTTGAACCATGCTGGGCATCGGGCTCCAAACCTCCAAGGGGGTTTGGGCAGCGGTGAGGGCCAGGATGCACCAGGATGGATGGGGCCATCTCATGGCTGGGACTGTCAGCAGAGCTTTGGGCTGCTCTCCTGCCTTTAAGTGGATAAAGCCATCTCCCTCCAAAGCCAGGCATGAGCCACCAGCTAATCTAATAACACTAAGCCTGCAAAGAGCAGATCTGCCTCGGCAGCAGCTGATGGAGAGAATGGATCATCTGAGCAGCAGCTTTCACCCTGCACGAGGGTGCATCCATGGGGCTGTGGGAGGGTTGGGGACTGGAGGCTTCCCTGGCATTTGGTCCCTCTGTTATCCTTCTCTCCATCCTCCTCTGCCTCCAGTGCTTCCCATCAGGAAGTCAGGATGCTGAGCCAGCCAGAGCTTTGCCCTGGTCCAGTTCAGCCGTCCCCAGGGTGTAACTGGTATCCCAGGCTCCCATCCTCCTGCATGCAGCCACCAGCATGCCCAGCACTGCACAGCCAGAGCAGCAGGGGACAAAGTCACCAATGCATGGGCATGGGCCTGCTGGGAGACTGTTGGTAACACACTGCTGGGAGCCATGGGGATGGTAGAGGGACATAGAAAGAATGGAGAAGTGGTCAGAGAGAGGAACCTCATGCAGTTCAGTGAGGAGAAGTGCAAAGTCCTGCCCCAGGGAAGAACAACCACACCTAGCAATGCCCACCCACCTCAGAAGCAGAGGACCTAGGGGTGCTCGTGAACACCAGGTTGACCATGAGCCAACAACATGCTCTTGCTGCAAGGAAGGCTGAGGGTAATACAGGCTTCATTAGGCAAAGCATTGCCAACAGGTCAAGGGAGGGAACCCTTCCCCTCTGCTCATCACTGGAGAGGCCACTCCTGGAGGGCTGGATCCTGTTCTGGGCTCCCCTGTCCATTAGAGACATGGACATACTGGAGGGAGTCCAGCAAAGGGCAGTCCAGTTCACCATGTAGATGTAGATGGTGGGCTGGAGCATCTCTCCTAGAAGGAAAGGCTGAGAGATCTGGGGAGCAAAGAAAGCTCAAGATTTCACCATCGCTATGAACACCTGATGGGCAAGAGGATGGTGGTGCTCACCTCCAAATGGTCTGCTTTGGGAAAACACAGCATCCCCAGGGCAGCCATAGGGATCTGCAGGGGCTGGTCCTCCCCAGCCAGATCAGGGCAGCACAGGAAGGTCCCTGTGATGTGCAGGGTATTGGGTGGGAGCTGGGACACCCCATGGCAGGTGCCCCCTTTGGAGGAACCCATGGCAGGTCCCAAGAGGTTTAGGAGCACCAGAGCCATCCACCCCTCTGCCTCATCCCACGAGATCTTTATTCCTTCTCAAAGCATTTAAATTCTCCTTGTCAGCCATAGACCAAATATTTACAGTCCGCTGGAGGGACTTAGAATTCCTCTCCGGTATTAAGCAGAGCTCAGCTGCGGGGGAAGCTCAGTCCCAGGCAGTTCAGACTCATCCTGTCCCTCCTCGAAGCCTTGAGGAAAGGGAGAAGGGGTGGGAAACAAAGGCTTCTCTCCTGGCTGAAAAGGGGCCAAGTAGGCTGTGGGAAGCAGGTAGGGGAAGGGGGAGTGTAAAAAGCAGAAGCAATGAAAACACACACAGCTCTGCTTTCTAAAGCCATTTTCAGTTCTCTTTTTAAATTTATTTTTTAAAAGCCTTATAAATGTTTCTGTTTTCCCTTCCCAGCTCATTAAACCCAGCAAAAAGAAACCACTGGGAATGGGGGAAACCATATTTTCGTTATCCTGAGCTTCTCCCTACCCCATACACGAGTGGCCTCACCATCTCTATTGCAGTGCACCAAGGGCCTTTGGATGCTGAAGGTACTGATTCAAAGAGATCGCTCTACGGTACACACTGTACAGTAAGGCACAAACCTTTATTGGCAGCGGGAGCACGTGGGGGTTCAAACCTCCATAGACATGTCCAAAGAACAGCAAATCTTAGGGGGTCTTTTAGACCTAAATTTCATCTTGAGATACTTGTATCTGTTCATACAGTTCAGTAAGTTAGATAACGTGTGGTTTTCTTCTCCTTTGTGCTCTTGGGTTAGGGCTACAGCAACAGTCTATGAGTTAGTATTAGTCAGGATTCTTACCTTTTAGCTTAGTATTATTGATTAATTGCTAATACCTGCAAGCTACGTGCTTGGTTCTTTGTTCAAATTGTTATCATATTTTGCTGTTACAGATATCCCTGCTTATAAACAACTTACAGAAGCAGATGCAAGGCTGCCTACATACCTGAGTTCTAACTTACGTATATCATACCCTTTCAGGAGGGCAGGTCCTTACTTGCAGACAAGTTACTATTAAGCAGGTGCAGTTGTGATTCTAAGTGTTGAGTCATACTCATGCTAAATAGCAAAGTTATGTCAGCTAAAGCATAGTGGCTTGGTTGCGATATCCTGGGACAGCTGGGGGACTTGGGACCAAATTTGGGTCTGAATTCAGGGAGAAGACATGGGAGAAGTGCTGCGGAGCAGCACTGTGCCTGAATGAGTGCAGCCACAGGATGGGGACCACCAGCGGCACCAGCCTGGGGACCCTGTGCTGGTGCTGGGGACATTGGGATGACCCAAGACGCAGAGGCAACCTGCTGCAGGCAGTGGCATCTCCATGAGCAGCATTACGGTGTCCTCTGTGACATGATGCAGCATTCTCTGTGGCACAGGGATTGAGTGCACCCTCAGTAAGTTTGCTGATGACACTGAGTTTTGTGGTGCGGTCACACTGGAGGGAAGGGATGGGATCCAGAGCGACCTGAACAGGATGGAGACATGGGCCAGTGCAAGCCTTGGAGAGTTCAACAAGGCCAAGGGAAAGGTCCTGCACAGGGGTTGGGGCAGTCCCAAGCACAAACACGGGCTGAGCAGAGACTGGATTGAGAGCAGCCCTGAGGAGAAGGACTTGGGGGTGTTGGTCAATGAGAAGCTCCCCATGACCCAGCAGTGTGCGCTTGAGCCCAGAAACCAACCGTGTCCTGGGCTGCATCACCAGCAGTGTGACCAGCAGGTCGAGGGAGGGGATTCTCCCCCTCTGCTTTGCTCTGCTGAGACACACACCCCCCACAAACACCCCCCTCCCTCCGCATAAGAAGGAAGCGGAACTGATGGAGTGCCTGAAGGGGCCAAAGAGAAAGCTGGAGAAGGGGTTTTGACAAGGAACAAGGGTAATGGCAAGGGACAAGGGACAGGACAAGGGGGAATGGCTTTAACCTGATAGAGGGGAGACTGAGATGAGCTCTTAGGCAGAAGTTCTTCCCTCTGAGTGTGCCAAGGCCCTGGCACAGGGTGCCCAGAGAAGCTGTGGCTGCCCCATCCCTGGCAGTGTTCAAGGCCAGGATGCACAGGGCTGGCAAGCTCAGGAAATGGGAGTGGAGCCCAGGAGAAGGAAGAATTAAACACTATTAATGAGGGGATGGGCCTCATGGCCTCATTCATTTCATGGGGCTGGGGAGTTTCTGAGTGATCTGGGGGCTCAGGTGGTGCATGTGCACTGACCTGCCGGGGTACATACTTGTGCGCAGGACATGCCACCATCCCCATCACACCAGCTTGTCCACACTTTTTCTGGTCCCAGTGGGACTGGGTGTCCCCAGTGTTCTGTCTCTCCCCTCTGGGGACCCTACAGACCCCAGATAGACTCACAAGCGTGTTTGTGCAGGGCTGGCATTGGCATGGAAGAGTGGGCACATGTTGTGCATTGTG